TCCTTAAAAATAAAAAATAAATAAAAAGTCATAGCAATATAAAACTCAACATCCTTTGGGAAAAAAGTCTTTAGGTGTAGTAGTGAGGCAGGCCTCTGGCTCAAAAGAACTATAAAAGGAATGGCTTTCGATTGTACTGAAACAAGTGTACTGTAAAAACCAAAGTAATGACGGTATCCTGGAATCGGGTTCAGGGGAACCGGGGCAGTGAGTTCCATCGAGGGCCACGCCCCTGCGTCCGTCTGCGGGATCTTGGAGGAACCTTACCCGCGTCCTCCTTGGAGGCAGACACCTTTAACTTTTTGCCCTCAGGTGCTGGCACGGAGGTTAGGAACGTGGAGGGCGTCTTCGGAAGAGACATAACCATCGAGGCCTCCCACCACTCTCTTTAGTCACTTGAAATATCGCTCCGGAAAGTCAACTTAGAAACAAGCCAGCGGTGTCCTCGCATTTGGCAACGCTGCCGCACGTCCTGCAGCAAAAGCAGACAGAGACCCACCGGGCGCGGCGCCACGGCCGCGCTCCTAACTCCTCCAGCAGCGCGGCTTCCCGCGCGAGGAGCCCGCGCGCCCTCGGGTCACCTGACGCGGCGGGGGGCGGGGGGGGGGGGGCGGGACGCGCCGGAGCCCCGCCCCGGAAGGAGCCGCCCGCCCCGCCCCCCGACGGGCGGGGCCCTGGGGCGCGCCGAGGCCGAGGCCCAGGCCGTGCCGCCGCCGCACCGCAGGCGTGGGAAGCGCCCGTGCGTCGCCATAGAAACGCAGGACCCCGAGCTCTCGCGGCCCTCGCCGGGGCTGTCTCCCGCGGTGCCGGCGGCGGAGGGAGACCGCGAGGCAGCCACCCCGGCCCTCGGGGATGCGGCGGTTTTACCCGTAGCGTAGGTTCGGCAGCAACGGAGAACACATATTTAATCGGGTTGCTCTCACAGCAGGAGCGCGGATGTGTCTACACCGCGGCGCTCCCGCCCGCAGGTCGTGGCCAGTGCGCAGGCGCCAGCGGTGCCCGGGGTCGCCCGCCCCCGCCCCCCGCGCGGCCCCCACCCGAGGCGCCGCCAGGTGGGAGCCAGCCTCCCCTGAGACGTCCGTGCTTGCATCGCTCTCTCCCACCTTGCTTTTTTGTTTTTCATATTTTCCTAAAAGCCAAATGCAGGGCGAAACCACGTAACCATAGGAACCCAGAGCCTATCGGTGGAGGCTTCCTCGCGGATGCTGCCCCTGACCTTGACCTTGCGATCGTCTTCCTCCGGACTGACGCGCGACCCCGACCCCACCCCACCCGGCCGCACGCTCAAGGCGTTCTTAGGTCCCCGTGGCTTTTTTTTTTTTTTTTTTTTGGCTGGAGGCAGGGAAGGAGATTGAGACTTGGGCGGAGCCGAGCCAAGCAAAAATGTTGGGGCTTCCTAAGAACCTGTTCTATTTTGTTTTAATAATAAATTTCTTATTGTTCAATTTGCCAACATACAGAATAACACCCAGTGCTCATCCCGTCAAGGACCCGTTCTCCGGAAAGAAGGGGATAAACGCATTCGCTTGGAGAAGGATTCCCTTCCCTTAGCGCCACCGGTGGTGGTTTTCTATGAAGAGGGAGCCTTGGGGCGGCTCGGTGGCTCAGTGGTTGGGGGCCTGGTTTCTGCTCGGGTCATGACCTCGGGGTCCTGGGGTGGAGCTCCCTGAAGGCTCCCTACTCAGCGGGGAGCCTGCTTCTCCCTTGGCCTCTGCTTAGTGTCGCTAAAGAATGAAGGGATCCGTAAATGTTGTAAAGGAGACACAAATCGAGGCGCTGCTCTGCTCGCTCTCAAAATTTCAAGAATTACACTTCCCTAGAATTCTAGAAATATCAGAAAGGGAGACAGAACATAAAGACTCCTAACTCTGGGAAACGAACTAGGGGTGGTGGAGGGGGAGGAGGGCGGGGGGTGGGGGTGAATGGGTGACGGGCACGGAGGGGGACACTTGACGGGATGAGCACTGGGTGTTATTCTGTATGTTGGTAAATTGAACACCAATAAAAATTTTAAAAATTCTAGCAAAATTATAAATTCCCTAATACCGCTACCTTAAAAAAAATGGGGTCTTTAATGCTAAATAGTACTGGTGGAATTCCAGTGTCTAAATGACTCTAGTCTGGCAAATACATTTTAGATGGGAAAATAACTCGATCTACCGTCCTGTTCCTTAGTACCTAAGCACAGTGTCTGACCCAAACACCTTTGCTGAGTGGTGTTTGAAAATCAACTGGACAGTTCTGCTCCTGAGCTGATGGATTTGGTTTCTGGTTTTCAGGATAATAGCAATTAAAAATATGAGCAGAGTGTTGAAGATAAAAACAACAATCTCAACACAGTGCCTGAGTGGCTCAGTCAGGTATGCATCCAGCTCTTGGTTTCAGCTCAGGTCATGTTTTTATGGATGGTTGGATGGAGCCCCTAGTGAGCTCTGCAATGGGGGCAGGGGGGAGTCTGCTTTAAGATTCTCTCCTTCTGTCCCTCCCCACACTCTCCCTCTAAAATAGATCTTTAAAACACAATCATACACACATTAGCTCAGTGGCTCCTTTTAATTCTCCCTAGTGAAACATCTTGGCTGTCTGAGCATTTTAGCCCTTAGCCCTATCCCATCTATTTTTCTCTCAATTTTCCAAGAATCACAATAGATACAGAGCACTCATAAATAGCACACATGTATTTCCCTCTAAGGACTGGCAAATAAACAAGTAAAGGGCAAAAGCAATGCACAAGCAGGTGGAAGGTCATTTTCTCCAGTTTGCTTTCCTCCTTCCTCACTTCCATTCTATAGTTTGAAACCAGAACCAGAAGACTGAACTTCAGAAATCCTAACATTCCAACGTTCAGCTTACACAGTTTATTAAGCTTTTGGGTACTGGAAGAACAAGGTGACTCCTTCATATTCTTAACCTAGTTTTTAAAAAGTAGGGCATTGATAGAACAGATGAGGACAAGTGAACAGATTCAAGAGACAAAGCAAAAATCTGTAGAATGTGTGGTATGAAGAAAAAGGCGTCAAAAGTTACTTCCCATTTTCTATCCTGTGTATGGTGTGATTAAATATACTGTTTCCCAAGCAAAGGTCTGCATTTAAGTTGTAGAAGTATGTGAAGCAGTAAGCACAAGAACAGAGGAGCACTTAAGAATATTACAGTAAGGCCATAGCTATTGAAGAATATAATTGCTACTCAGGGGAAACTCCTCTCATAATTTTGAAAGATCACAAGGGATCCCTAAGGTGGAGAGAAGTTAAGCATTATTGAGGTCTTCAATGGAAAATATCATAGCAAAATCCAAAATGAGCAGGTAATAACTTTCCTAAATAAAAACCTCACAATAGTAAAAATCCCAGCTGTAGTTATAAACAAGGCTAACTGAGCTTGTTGGCATGGACTAACTCCTGTGGCAGCTTAACACCACCTACTCAGCAGTGGGGTCGTCTGGCTTCGAGTGGACAGTATCTAAGAAGAGTTTCAGTGTGATCACCAAACATGCCCTGAGCTGGGAAAAAAAACACATGGAGTATGTTTGCACCAATCCTCTTTTACCAATTCAAGGCTTTTGACAGAGAAAGAAAGAACAAGCTGGGGAGGGTCAGTAGGGGAGAGCCCTACGCAGGGCTCAATCTCATGGCCCTGAGATCATGACCTGAGCTGAAATCAAGAGTCTGGACGCCTAACTGACTGAGCTACCCAGCCGGCCCCTACCCCCATCAGTTTTTACGTGTGTGGGCACTTCCACATAACATGCATAGCTTCCTAAAGGAGTCTGAGTGGGAAGCAGGCCAGTGTTTACACTTAATGTAGTTAAAGAATGAAGGTATCAATTAATGTTGTGAAGGAGACAAAGAAATCTAGGCACCACCCAGGGAAGCGCCTCTCAGGGGAAGAGTAACTTCTTGTGTTGCTTCCACAGAAGGACATTCCTAAAACTGAAATGATGCCTCAGCCTATCTTAGTTCTGTCATTATTAAGTACCCTTCTTCTAATTCCACATGGGCATGCCTACAGGAAGAAATAGAATTTTGGTTTTGTTCACACAGCACACCTGGAATGTGGCGTTGATGCAGGCTAGAATAAATTCATCTTTCTCATCATAAAATGGGCTTCTACAAAGCAAATTCAGTCAGCAAGCGTGCCAACCTGAGTATGCCATTCTCTGTGTGACTTCTCAATCTATTTATAAACTGGTATTCCAGTTTTTTTCATCATATTCATGAACTTTGTTCACTGGAGTCCAAATGCAAGCTGAGCCTAAAAGGTCAGGACCCTCAACTTGAGTAAATCATCAAGGAAAACTGCCACGTTGTGGCTTTGCCCGAGTATGCCCAAAGAATACTCACTTGGTCCAAGAAACAGGGAGGGGCCCATCTTATTTCTGAAGCAATCTCCCCCTTCCCACTCCTCTGGCCCTGCAGAAGAGGTGGCTAGGGCTAGAGCATGGAAGAAGAGAGGACTTCCTGGCTATTAGAACGAGTTTGCGTCTACGCAAAGAATGCTGTGATGTCAAATCCTACTCATAATGGGTTCCTACTACGAGGAGATTCTTTGGAGGAAGGAAATCAATGTTTCTTGCGTCAAAATCAGTTTCCCCAAGTCTTATCTGAAAAGGCACATTTCTTGACCAACAGATTTTCTACCTCCCATTAGAAAACTAAGTCCGTGTCTACCCATTAGGGGAGGAGGTAGGTACATTTTTCAGAAATAGCCATTCACAAGTTTTAACAGGCAAACTGCAGAAGGAGTCAGGAACAAATAATGACCACAATAATGAGAGGATGCTCAAAGTATCAGTGTCACAACCGGCCTCTATCATTTATTAATTTGTAACATGGCTCCCTCTCCGTCATTCCGGATAAGAAAGTTTTTGTTACTTACCTTCTCTTTGGCTGTATTCAGCACATAAAGTTGCCTGACACTAAGATGAAAAACATCTGTAATTATGAAATACATAGATATTGAGTAAAATTAAAATGCTTTTAAAAACAAGAGAGACTAGGTTCTTTCCAAATATATTTATTTACCACATTCTTCACATATGCAATATTTTGCCATTTTCTATGTAGATTTTTAAGTTAATCTTAAGACAATGCATACTGAACAAAGTGAGAGTACCAGTGATTATACAAACAGGGCAGGGCGTTCAGGGGAGACTCCTGAGTAGAATTCAGGAAAAGAGCAGACACAAGTGACTTAGAAAAAAAACATCTTTAATTATAGAAAAACCTTTAAAACAACCTCAGATCTCCATGATCTTTCGGCTGCGCTCAGAACACGACGGATTTAAAGCGCAAGCTAGGTAAGTGTAAACATGGGAAGGAAGCCGTCACACTGGCCCAAATGGTAGAGCCACGGCTGGAGTTGGAGCTCTCATCTCACCCAAGAATTGGCACATGCGCACATGGGAATTCAAATTATATCCCTAATTGCTTGCATGCACAAACTGCCTCATGTCTCAGTTATTTAAAACAATAAGAACACCTACCACGTCATTAAAACAAACGAACACCAAAAGCACAGTGGAGTATCTGCTAGCTTAAAGGTTAGCACTCCCTTGGGAAGGGCATATGGGCAGCAGAAATAGTGAATATAATGTTGAAATAAGGAAGAAAGCATTTAGAAAAAGGAATACAGAAGAGACAGTTTTAGTTTTTAAACTGTATCACTTCTGAGATTAACCCTTTCTTTTTCTCAAATCCAAATTAGCTATTAAAAAGTCTTTATGCTTTACAGGAAAAAAAAACTTTATTAAGGGCTTTGAAGATTATATAGATTGAACATCAATAATGATAAAACTGTAAAATTGTACAAGCAGGACATTAAATTTAGGATGAGAAAGAGCATGGGCAGACCAAGCAGGAAGGACTCCATTCTCCCTGTTTTAACCAGAGTTGAAGTTGTGTTTTACCTCCTTTATAAACTGGGTTCCAAAATTCTATTACCTGATAGAAATTTTAGTGATGTTCGAATACTCAAATGCTTATTATCAGCTTTACTAATAATACTCATTTTATTCCTCAAAACCGTTATGTCCCAGTTTCTATTTTTGAGCCATAAACATAAAGCCTAGAGATAAGATACATAAAACAATATCCAAGACAGATCTTTCTGATAGTATATATGCACGTATATGTAAACTGTATTATATAAACTATATATATGTCACATAAAATTTTGCACAAGTTTAGTAAGCGAGTCCATTACACGTTATTAACAAAAGAATGAACTATCTTCCATTAAGAATTTTGCCTTCCAAGACTATAAGCATTCTTTACACTGGCAAAAAGTAAGACTTCGTTAGTTTCCTTCCTCTCCATAAATTCTAAAATTTAACTACAAGGTACACAGTAGTTCTAACAGTTTAATACCTAGGGGAAAGCAGAGATGCTTTTCTTTTTAGAAGCTTACCTTTATGCTAAACAGATAAAGAAGAAACTAATTTTGGAGGTGGAAACATGAGTGCCTTTAAAACTCTTGTTAAATTCTTGTCGGTTCCATTATGGGAGTGCTTATTGTATCCGTCAAAGTAGGACGGGGATTCACATCATACAGAGTCTATTTAAAAGCACATATTCTCAGGAATGTGCAGCATTTGAAAACATTCGCATTTTTAAAAGATTCCAACGAGATGATGAGGATTCAGGTTTAGAATTTATGGAAGGTAAGAAGATAATGAGGCCCATTTTCTGCCAGGGCTAGTGTTTTGCAACAACCCTATGAGGTAGCTCTTGCCCTCATTTTACAGATGAGGAAAACTGTGGCTCTGATAAATGAAGCAACTGTGCCCACTGTCACACTGCCAGTAGGATGGGGCTATCTTTGTCAAACATCGCATTCCTTTTTGCTGCACCAGTGGTTTTCTAACTGGATATTTGGGGGTAGGAGACAATGGGTGTCCCAAACAATAGGACTCCAGCCCTGCATCTCAGTCTCAACCAGCGGCAGCTATGTTTTATCTGTTTTGCATGCTAGGATTAAATGTAACAATTTTTTTAATGGTTTCATAACTGAAACATAGTACATCAGGCCACTGGTTACTACAGTTATGTTCCTTTACCTTCATTATTTTTCCCCATACAAAACAATGAACTGGACTTAACTTTTGGGGCTGCATAACCCACATGACCAACCTTATACATAATGTTCTGTTAGGTTTTCAGGATTCCATTCTTCAGGCAAGTATAATTTTAAAATTCATTGGAAACTGCCTACACTAAATGAATGACTTGTACAACATAATCTGCATTTGCAATTAGAGAATATTTACACAATGTACCTTCTTTACCTGCCAACGTCCCTCACTCTTACCCTACAAACTGAAAGGAAAAAACATTTTCTGCACTCCTCATGCTTCCAAAAGCAAAAAGTAGTTACTGAAAGGTTAAAAGGAGCCTCAATTTTCTAATTATTAATTCTAACATAAAGCAAGCAACTTCCCTTAGGCAGGAGATTAAGCCACCAAAAACAAACAAACCACTCCCTTTTCCTTCACTATTCAGGACTGAGAATGAAAGCATCTAACAGATTTATAACAAAATTTGAGATTTAACCGTTGTCCTAGAGAAAATACCCACAATAAAGGCTACTATCATTAAGAGTTCTTGTAGGAAAGAAGTTTTAAACTCTTTCCTTTTCAAAAAGAACAAAGTATCCTCCTGTAACTAATTTTCACCCCTATTAGCAAAAGAGGAAAAATCAGTAAATCTTCCTGAAACACATCAGAAGTTTTAATTTATTTAGGAGTGCAGGTAGTGGTTCAAATAAACAGACTTTTGCCAAGAGCAGCTAACAGTAAGACCATGGCTATCAAACTAGTTTCTCAAAAGTAGCTACTACTCCAAGCGTTTTGTGAAAATTTCTTAGGGCAGTCTTACCTGTTCTAAAGAGTCTTTAGTTTTAAACATATTTTTTGTTGTCACCTCAAGGTCTTGGACAGAAAAATAAAATCACTAATAAAGGGAAGATGAGAGCTGGAAACAGCGTTCAATCCAATAAATATAATATTCACAACCAGTACAGAGCAACAAAGTGAATAAGCAATGAGAATGTTACATTTACAGCTGAATTTCAACAGAAATACAGATCTAAGAGTTCCATTCTCTGCCTTCATTTGATGACTTACTCATACACAAGGCTTAGACCAATCTGATTTTCTTAACTCCCTCATTATATTTAAAATGTAGTTATAAATTCAAGTGACTCATTTTAATTTTTCATAAAAATCCCAGAGATTAAAAGGTTTATTAAAGCAGTCTTGTTTGGAGGTGATGGCCCCATCACAATTATGTCACCACCATACAATTACTGCTTGGGAACATGTGAACTACTTTTTTAAAAATGTCCTGATAACACGCACATTTGTCTGTTAAAATTGCATTAGATCTCTGAAAACTGCATAATCTCATCTGGATCAGAGGTACTTGAATAAAACAGGTAAAGAGGCTGGGTACTTGTCCAAATTAAGTTGTTCATACTAAAAACTCCATTCACCTTCTTCTGACACTCAAACTAACTTTAAAAGAATCCCAAAGAGATGTCCCAAAACTTTTTGGATAGGAAGTAAGGCTATTAGAATACCAACACAGCTTCTCAAGTTGGCTACTCCAAATAAAAATCATCTTTTGGGTAATTCTTTAAGTCTCATTTCTTTGAGTGGAAGATTCAGCCACTTTCATATCCCATTCCAAATACTTGGTCTTTACAAACAATTAATCATTCCTCAAACATATAAACAAAATAATTCCTGCACACCACACTGTATTAGCAATGGGCATCTTATAACATGGAAACATCACATAACAGAGTACATTTTCTTGAAAATGATTAATTCATCTAAAGTATACTACCATTGAAAGTGTAATAATAGAGCAGTGCAGAAGCCAGCTTCTGTATCTTTAAAAATCACTTTAATATTAATGGAGGTGACTAATACTTATATGTTACAGACTTACTAGTCTGCAAAATATTGCAAGTCAGTATTTAACAAAGAAAGGGTACTGCATAACTTCCCAAAAGTTATTAAAGTTTAAATTTAAAAATGTTGCCTTCCACAGAGGTTCCAAGATAAAATAATTTAAACACATGATTGACTCAGCAAATCTTTTTTAAAAATTACTTTGGAAGTTATAAAAGGAACTGTCTTTTTTTTTGTCTGGTGCCACTTCTTTCTTTTTCCCTTCCTACTTCTGTTCCCTCAATATGTAATATTTTGGATGTAAACTCAAGGTGAAAGGTGTAATTCTGCTTCACAGAAATCATGACCTATACTTCATAAAGAAAAGGTAAAAACTGAGTAGAACTGAACTTTTCTCAAAAGAAAAATACAATTAGAATGTATAACGAGATTATCTTTGGAAACTAGAGGTTTTTGCTCTACTAGAAATAGCAAAACATTCCACCTTATTTCTTTCCCTAAATACACAGCTAATTAGCATACATTCCAACAGTGTGCCTGAAAAAAATTTCTGAAGCCCAAAAAATTTGAATGATTTCTTCCTAAGTGTTTTGGCTAACTCAGTGGCTAAGGAAACATGATGTTTAGTCTCGATGTTTAGATGGAGTCAAAAAACAGAAACTGAGCAAAACTGTCATTATGTCAGCTACAAGTCTCCCTTCTCCCAAAAAGGCAAAAATGAAAAGAAAAAAAAAAAGTTCTGCTTTAAGTGCACAAGATTCCAGTAAACTCCCAACATCTCAGCTGACCTAGGAGTGGAGCAAGCCATCCATAAGTGTGGAGTGATCCAAATACCACAGATAACTTCAGGAACAGCTGGAAATGGATGCTGGCCCCATATCACGAAGAGTAGCCATCTTCAATGTCAAGGAATGAATCAGAGTCCAAGCTTCTAAAACACATAACGACAAGTCCAGGAACGTGGCCGGATATAATCCAGAAATGTGGGCTTCGATGGGAAAAAAAAAGAAAGGAAGAGTAGTTTATGTGCACGCACCAAGTGCACAAGGCGTCGGAGTGGGAAGGGGGTATGGATGTTAAACACTGCACACCTACAATTCCTCCCAGCATTTCTGTAACTTAGGCTATAAGCAGGCTCACTAATTTGAAAGACGTTCATTATGTTTATCTACAGCATGGGTTATATTGATTTAGAAGTTTTACACAAAGCTTTTCAAGTCCAGTACACTCTATCAATTACATGGACTTCTGACCAAATTCCAAGCAGGCACTACCTCTTTTCTGTATCTTGCAGAAACCTATTAGTGGCCTAAAATCTAATTTGTGATAGGTAAGGATGATAAGATATATATACAAATTACTGAAATAAAAAGTTTAAAATGACTAAATTATCTACTCTACATGAAAACAGATGAAGCATTATGAAAGTTCAGAAATAGGAAAAGACTGAAGCAAGAATTTGAAAAAGCTGGAAGATGTTGCATCCAAAGTGGTTTCTGAGAAAATAAAATCTGGCAGGTGGAATCAGAGTGCAGAGGGCAGCATCACCAGACAGACCAAACCCACTGGTTCAGATGCACAAAGGGCATAAGTAAGAAATAAGGAGGGGGGCATGAGGGCAGCATAAGAAAAACAGGACAGACAGGAGGAAAAGCTTTGGGAGAGAAACTGATTAATTTGATTACAGGCATCTTCAGTTACAGGTACCTACGAGAAATACTCAGGCAGATGTATCAAGAAGGCACCCCCTAACTATCTGCGAGTTATCCATATGCAGCTATAAAAGTGAAAGATTTAGAAATGAGACTCTTACATAATTACAAACAACAACAAAAAAAGAATCAAGGGGAATGGAATCCTAGGCATATGAGTATAGCAGGACATTTTCGCAGAGTTTATTGCTCTGGGAAGGAAGACATGAGAGATGTATATATGTAGGTGGTGGCAGGGGGGATACGCAGTGCTACTGAGAAGACCCTGCAGAACACCTACATTTTTCAGGGCACAGAAAAGAAGTTAGAAGATGCTAAAGAAAAAGCAGTAAAGTAGGGTAGGTGGGCAGGGGGAGGGGATGAGAGAGAAAACCAAGAACTAGAAGCTAGAAGCATTCAATGTACATAAAACTCTCAAAGACTCTCAAAGAAAATGAGCTAATCCTTTTACTCCTCATTTTCCATCCCCTTAACATTAATTCAGCATCATCTGCACTACTCTTCTCTTTAATGTTGCCTACCAACCCTCATGATTGGGGACACTCCAGTCTGCCTGAGGACTCACATTTTTTAGAGGACAGTGTTGCCGTGCATACCACTCTTGGGAATAAAAGCACAGGATGACTCCATGGCCGGCGAAAAGAGAAGTCCACATCATAACATTCCAAATAGGCCTTTTCCGACTATCATTGACAATGAAGTTGAAAGCCACTGAAATTAGAATGATAAAAAATATATACTTATCAAAACATCCACCAGGAAACAGGGGGCCTCCAATTATGTGCTGTAATCATGTAAGTATCACAATGAGCATCAACTGTGGATACACAAGTTTTATTCTGGCTGTTGGTTCTGCAAGTAAAACTGAAGCTTCAGTGTTAGAATTTATTAATCAGTAATTAGCTGGAAATTAGAGACTATTCAGAACAGGTGAAAATACATTTCATGGAATCATTCATATTTTAACTTGTCCCTCCCTCCACCCACCCAAAGAAGGGTCCACACATTATTCAGGGGTGAACCCTGACAGAGTTTATGCAGACGTTGTTTATAGTCTCCATGGCCTCCCAAATCACTGTTAACATTAGTCTTCAAGAGACTATTTAAGTTCACTTCTCTACTTCAAAGGGTGAGCATCCCGCGACAGTGTATTTCATTACTCAAAATCAATGCTAACTGTTTGATGAACACTGCCTTGAAATGGTATTGCTACGATCTAGTTTTCTACCCTTAGACTTTATTTCCTAAATTTCTCTTTTAGCTTGATACTCACTACTCCCAGCGTGCCAAGATACTTACTTCCAAAGAACATGAACAGCACGAAAAGCACTGGATAGAAAAAGTTCAAGCAAACAGCCAGGGCATACTCATGCACTACAGCAGACACAGCAAAGACAGCTAACATGGCAGCCGATTTGAATCTCTTAGTGAAAAACTAGGGTAAAAGGAGAATATGAAAAAGTAATTTTTTAAAAAGTAATTAAGCTCAAACTATATACAGCTGACCCTTGAACAAGATGGGTTTGAACTGCTGGGTCCTCTTATTCAATTAATACAGCATAGTACAGATGTTATTTCCTTATGATATCCTTTTTATTCCTTATGATATTCTTAATAACATTTTATTTTCTCTAGTTTACTTTATTGTAATAATACAGAATATAATACCTATAACATACAAAATGCATGTTAACCAACTATTTATGTTATCAGTAAGGTTTCCAGTCAATAACAAATGATTAGTAGTTAAGCTTCAAGGGAGTCAAAAAATTATATGCAGATTTTTGTGTGGGAGGATCAGCACCCCTATCCACCTTGTTCAAGAGTCAAATGTACAAGACTATAATTATCACATGCTAAAGGCATCTATTTAATTATGTCTATATTTGACTTTTCCAATCTATTCCTTGGATTAATCCAAATGTAGTGAATAATTACAATAAATATCTATGCTTTAAAATCCTTATTTAAAAAATAAATCCTTATTTTACTAAAATGAGGCACTGTCAAAACCGTTAATGTTGAAAGAACTAGGCCTATTTAGGGCAGCCTGGGTAGCTCAGCAGTTTAGCGCCGCCTTCAGCCCAGGGCATGATCCTGGAGACCCGAGATCGAGTCCCACATCGGGCTCCCAGCATGGAGCCTGCTTCTCTCTCTGCCTGTGTCTCTACCTCTCTGTCTCTCTGTTTTTTATGAATAAATAAATAAAATCTTAAAAAAAAAAAAAAAGAACTGGGCATATTTTAAAAACATATTTGCAACCTGTATTTGTAAGTCACTACAGTGGACAAAACATAATTTTTATATATAAATGGACATTCAACCCTTAGAGTAACATTGTATGGTAGATAAGGTAGGCATCCTCTCCATTTTCACTATGATTTAGAAAGAAATGCCATGCTTTGTCCATAAGTGACACTACACTTATGAAAGAACACTTGACTATAGTGCTACTTGTACTATGACCTGCTGTCACTTACTTAGCCAAATAGTGACTTACTTACTAACTAAAATCTGCAATCCAGAGATACCAGGGATAATCAATCATGACATTCAAGATTACATTTCATCAGTCTAAATACATTCTAAAGAATATCCCAAAGACACATATCATCAATTGGAGAGAAATAAATCCAACATAAGTGTTTCCCTACATTAGCAAGAAAACAAAAAATAAAAAAATAAAATAAAAGTTAGAGGGAGCTTAATTGTTGGCAATGAGATTCATAAGAAATGATCCATTATTGGTGGATCATTTCAACTTCTCTAAATGCCTCAATGCATTCTTTACTTCAAAATCATGTAGAGCAAGACCATGGTATTAGATCTAGTTAATTGTACATATTGGTCTCTAAGCAGTATTGTTCAAAGCATAAGGTTTCTTGAATATAAATGGCCCACAGAGAAGTAAAGACCACTTCTAGATGATGATAATACTTTTTGGAAAAGAATCTCCCATTTCTTGAACATCAACTAAACCTTGCTGCTTACCCAGAGAAAGTCCTTGTAAGCATAGTAATACAGCCAGTCATGAACCACCACGTTCCAGGTCCTGTAATAATTAGAGTATGACGTAGAGTTCCACCAATCCTGAAGAAAAAAAAACAAAGGTTTAAAACTACACAGATACATATACATACACATTTACACAGAGAACCAAAGCAAAATCCCCTGCATATTCCTAAAGAACAAATACATACAACATAATATCCAGAGTGTGTTATTATGATAATTTGTTAGTCCATACACTAATGTCAGAAAAATCTTGAAAGGCATTTTGTTCACTAGTGCTCAATATATGACATTAATTTTAATGCTTTTTTTTTTTTAAGATTTTATTTATTTCTTCATGAGAGACACAGAGAGAGAGGCAGAGACATAGGCAGAAGGAGAAGCAGACTCTCTTCAGGGAGCCCGAGGCAAGACTCGATCCCCAGACCCCAGGATCACGCCCTGAGTCAAAGGCAGACATTCAACCACTGAGCCACCCAGACGTCCCTAATTTTAGTTCTATAGATAAAGTCCCTAACTTCATTTTGTCTCATTATCCAAAGAGTTATGACAGAAGATACAGAACATATAGAGTCATTAAATATAAGGTTCATCTAAATAGCAATCAATAAATCCCCTTACCTGGCTAAAACACAGGGAGAGAATTCTATGGTCCTATAGACTTAGTGTGATAGCCCAAGGAGTTATCCCGCTGGTACCATAATGACAAAATTTACATTGTACAAGGAGACAATGGTTACCTGTAATATCTTTCTCCCTACTTTAAGATCAGATCAGTGGAATCAAGAGAGTGCAACCCACAACCCCGTTTCTTTGAGAAAGAAGTAGAAGGCTTTGGGTGTTGCCAGAACTACCACAAACAAAACTCTAGCGGGCTTTAGGCAGGATCATAGAACACCATCAACACCCTGGCTCTTGTCTAGAACTTAATTTCAACTTTGTCAAGTGTGAGAATACTATTTTAACTTTTTTTTTTTAAATTTATGATAGTCACACAGAGGGGGGGGGGGGGGCAGAGACATAGGCAGAGGGAGAAGCAGGCTCCATGCACCGGGAGCCCGATGTGGGATTCGATCCCGGGTCTCCAGGATCGCGCCCTGGGCCAAAGGCAGGCGCCAAACCACTGCGCCACCCAGGGATCCCGAGAATACTATTTTAAATGTAACTAATGCCTTTCAAAAATAAAGGAGGGAAAAGTTATTTCCTTTAGAAACTATTCAGTAGGGATCCCTGGGTGGCGCAGCGGTTCGGCGCCTGCCTTTGGCCCAGGGCGCGATCCTGGAGACCCGGGATTGAATCCCACGTCGGGCTCCCGGTGCATGGAGCCTGCTTCTCCCTCTGCCTATGTCTCTGCCTCTCTCTCTCTCTCTGTGACTATCATAAATAAATAAATTTAAAAAAAAAGAAAAAGAAACTATTCAGTAGTCTTTTTTTAAAAAGATTTTATTTATTATTTGAGAGAGAAAGAGACCACAAGCAGGCAGAGCAACAGGCAGAGGGAGAAGGCAAAGCAGGCTGCCCACTATGCAGAGAGCCCAACACGGGGGCTCAATCCTAGGACCCCAGAATCATGACCTGAACCAAAGGCAGACGTTTTACCCAACTGAACCACTCAGGTGCCTTTATGTAACAGTCTTAAATGATTTACTAAGATCACTCCTACAGCACCAGACCGCCAATTTCAAATGAACAATCAGCAAAGTTTCATGATGCTCTCTGGACACATGCTCTCCCCACCAACACAGCATCTAGTAGAAACCACATGCTTTATTAAGGGAGCAGATATTAGAGGTAGAAAATAAGGCTGTGAAGCTGTGGCTAAGAATATCGACACCTGGGTGGGGGTGAGTGGGTGACGGGCACTGAGGGGGACACTTGACGGGATGAGCACTGGGTGTTATACTGTATGTTGGTAAATTGAACACCAATAAAAAATTAATTTATTATTAAAAAAAAGAATATCGACACCAAAATTTGACTTTAAAAAAAAAAAAGAATCTCAGACTTAATGTTGGTAAAACTTATGGAAAAAGAATCTCACAATGTTTATGTTAAAAAGCTAGTAACCAACACCACTCAAATACTTAACAATGAGTACAAAAGTGCATAAGTAAAATGTGAAAAGAAAGAGGGATCCAAGGATACATTACCTTATAAAACATCCTGTCACCAAACCGTAACATCTCAGCAAAGGCATTGAGCCAGCAGTGCAAAAAGGCAAAAAACATTAGGAACAGCATCAGCACACCTAAAAATAAGATTAACAAAACTAGGAGTTTTTCCAAATAGCTCACATACCAAGCAATTAATTTTATGTCATCATTTGCTTAGCTGGATTTATTCTGTGAAACAGAAGTTACTGTTCCAGCTTATTTCTCCAAGAGATGACACCATGTTCTTTTGAAAGTTATTTTAGTTTTGGAAAGCACTAACATCCAAGTGGGTTTTATAGGTAACAAATGACCCAGCCCGTTTTTAATAGAATTGCCTAGATGTATCGCGTAACTTGGTTCCCAGGTCCCTTTAAAATCTAGCCCTCATGCATTGTTTTAAACCAGTTGCTTAAAGCTGTGGGAGATTTTGCCCCTTACAGAACATCTGACAATTCTGGAGACATTTTTCGTTGTCACAGCTCAAGGGGTAAGGGTTGTACTACTGGTATTTAGTTTTTAGAGGCGAGATTTCGCTAAATATCCTATAATACAGATAAAAGCCCCCAAAACAGTTATCCAGCCCAAAATGTCCATAGTGACAAGGCTAACTTATCTTTGACTTTATGCCCAGTACTGTAAACATGATCCATGACTGGACTTCTGCCACTCTAAAATATTCTATGCCTTTGCTTCCATCCCACTACCTAGAAGCATGTTTCCACTCACTACTTCTCTGCCAAACACCTATTTTTCAATACCCAAGATTAAATGTCATGTCCAATATAATACAAAGTTCATCAGCACTTTGTCCTACTTAAGTAGTGTATATTATACTATATTGTAAAATATCCATTTTTATGCGTATCCCTTTCATTCACCTGCTTATTCAAAAAATATTTATGGAGCATCTACTATGTATTAGACAATATTGGAAAGACTATGATTGGCTGGCTGGCTGTAAGACACAATCTTTGATCTCAAGGAATTTGCATCCTATTGAGGAAGATATGCATTTGATACATATTCGATTAGAGGAACAGATAAAATAATTTATTGGAGTAAATCTTGGGGAAGGGCAGGGAGGGTAACCTAGGAGTCTGGGAGAGAGGTTATAGGAAGAAAGAAGATAATAGAAACCATGATCAACATTTGACAGGCAAAGAAAAAAGTAAGTAAAGGAAACTAAATATAATTAAACTACAAGCCTCCAGAGAATAAAGAGCATATATGTCCTATTCACTGCTATGTCCTCAGTTCCTGGCACATAATAAGTACTCATGTATCTCTAGAAAACAGTAAATGGAATGAATGAAGTTAGGAGATGGAGGTATGGACAAAAAAGGAGAATGAGTAGCAAGACAGAGATTTCAAAACGTGGTCAACAGCATCCAGACAATGCTTTGTGGAGGTGAAACAGAATAAGGGCTAACCTATCTACTGGATTTAGAATCAGGAGGTTACGAGTGAATTCAGTAAGGGCCACAACAGTGTCCTGCTCAGATTAGAATCAAAATTACAATGAACTGAATAGTGAACAGGAAGATCAGGCATGAATATAGACTATCTATAGTCACAGAAAACAAAACTTCAGTGAAAGTCAGAACACAAACCAAAAGATGGAGCTGAAACTACAAGTATACTCACTTATGAAGTAGATGGAAAGAAGCTGAGATGAGTAAAGATGTACAGATGACTTCAGAGCAAAAAGCAGGAAAATCAAAGGTGTGCATATGCAACAGCTCTCTTTTTCCTTACAACTTCATGAATGGCCAAATGAACCAGTACCCATGTTACCTGGCAAGATGGAGTTAAACACACATAGGACCAGAACTCGAGCGCTGAAGGGCTCCTGTTTGATATTCCGAAACAAGGGGGCGCAGAGCCTTTCAAAGATGTAGTACACATAAAAAAAGCAACCAAAAACCTGAAATGGAACAGAGATAAAATTATCATAATGATGGCTTAATATAAGAAAAGATGGTGACTGTTCTTCCTTCAAAAGTAGATATGTGACCCTTAGACTAACATTCACATAGGTATTCTCTTGAACACTAGCACAAGAGTGCCAAACCACAATCCCTCAGAGGTATTACACCAGCCTTGTTTCTAGCATACCTTTCCCCAACCCTTTACCAACTGGCATACCAAAAAATCAGACTCTTGGAACCTCCCTTTCCTGCTACATGAAACCCAGGATAAAAGAACTTATTTCATTAAATGAGTATTCAATTTAAAAAAAGGGATCTTCTGGAATTTCTGAATCTGATGGAGCAGGGCTGGGGGGGGGGGGGAGATGGGGAACATGTCAGACCATACCCATACATATATATTTCAAAATAAAAAACTGTAAGAAGAGGCAGAAATTAATGTAGAGGTCTACTACAGTAACCAAATGGAATGACTTTAATTCTTCTACTGAAGGAAATTACTTTTGATGTTGGCAAGACAAATACCATTTACTATACTGGTAAATAGTTTAAGATTTCAGAAAAAGGTCTAAAGTCCCCAGCAGACATGGATTTACCAACACTTTCAATAGATTAAATTATTATTGGGATCCCTGGGTGGCGCAGCGGTTTGGCGCCTGCCTTTGGCCCAGGGCGTGATCCTGGAGACCCGGGATCGAATCCCACATCAGGCTCCCGGTGCATGGAGCCTGCTTCTCCCTCCGCCTGTGTCTCTGCCTCTCTCTCTCTCTCTCTCTCTCTCTCTGTGTGACTATCATAAATAAAAAAAAAATTTAAAAAAAATATTAAATTATTATTGTAAATTTGAATCCGCATGTCCCACTCATCAACAAACCTTAAGTGATTAAAGAAAAAATTCACCTGTAAAAACTGCATAGCAACATAACCCCATCTTACACTGGGAGTCCTAAAAAGGAAGAAACAAAATAAGTTTTCTAAATAAAGTAACAACTTTAATAAAGAGCCTCAAAGTACTTTCCCACCCAGAATACCACTTTTGGCAATATGGAATGCCTGTATAATTCTGTCAACAATTCCCGTAATCAAATTGGATAGCTAGCATCACCATTTGGGGCTTCCCAGGGCCAGCAAGAAAGTTAAAGCTCGTTTTGTATTCTTTGTAACCCTACATAAACTGGAGCCTGAGTACCTATCACACCTCACTCATGCTATACTCGCCACATTTCCACCCCACAGTACAATTACCTGGGATAGTTGTCACGGTAGATGAGGGTCGGAGCAAACAGGAAGTACAAGTACTGATTGACTGTGGGTACCGGAATAGTCTCTGGAAAAGGAAAACTCTGGTTATATCAGATACTCTTCTGATATTTCTCCTGGCAAATAAAAGTCAGAAATAAGAAAGCACACAATAGTGAAGAATAAAATGACCTCTCTTAGCTCATGTCATTTCTTCCTTATCTCCCAAAGTGACTTCTTCTTATATTTATTCAATATTACCAGTCTCTCTAAACTAAGTTAATCCTGTGACTTAGAAATACCTCCCAGGGTCTGAAGTAGCAACTCAGAGTAAGCACACATGGGTATAATGAGTAACATTCTATAAAAATAAGACAAAGTTGAAGACTCTGGTGATCAGTATTTGTAAATGGTAGGTACAAAAGCAAAAGAGGAACAATCAGGAAACACTGAGATAGTTTTCCAAATCAATATGGATCCTATATATTTAAAATCAAACACAATGTCTATAGAATGTAAAATGCCATCCCCCTAAATACCAAAGGTTGAAATACTCTATTGAATAATCCTTGACCTAACAAAATTACATACTTGATTTCTCCTTAGCTGAATTTAGTACCCGAGGCACATTCTCTCTGACAAATGAATGGGCCTTCATTATGAAACGAATCTACAAAAGGAGGGGGGAAAAAAAGATGAATTTTCTACCATTGTCTTGTCTCCTATAAGCAACTCCAGAACAGCACTAGATTAAATCATACAAAGAACTTCCTAATTTTGCATATACCAACTCAAGTTCACGTTTATGGAATAAGGCAAATGAAAAACAAACTGTCAAGAAGGACGTGTTATTATTCAAATTATTTTGCATTAACAGCATTATGTATTATAGGTATATTACAGTAAAAAAATTAAAAACCTGTTCAAAGAAAATCTCCTGAAACATTCCTTCCCATTAGTCACACAGAGCATTAACAGCCAGTGTAAGTCAGAAAATTCCGAAGGGTGTATAAACAAATCTTTACTCAGATGCGAAGAGTTTATATGACAAACCAATCAATCTGTTACCTCAAAGGTAGAATTTTTAATTACAAAATTATTTTATAATTTAAATGACTTCTACAAAGCATTCAAGAACAAGATCTGAATTCTTCCTAAACTCAATATACTTTCATTATCAAGACTCAGAACACTGAAGCTAGTATGAATTTTAAGACATGAGATGATTGAGTTTAACACTTTAATTTTATAAGTAATAGCACAATCTATCAAGCTAATACAACTAAAACTAATAGAATATCAATATTATTATTTTAACTAAACATAGCATGGTACTGGGCAACACTCAAAACCTTACCTGTTCAAGTATAACAATGCACCGGGAAGCTGGTGGTAATGTATATGCTAAGACAACATATGTTGGTCCCAAACCTAGAACTCCAATCTGAAAGACCATGAAAAGGAAGCAATGGAATAGAGAATGGACCACTGGATGAGAACTCTTGCTGTAGCCTCTGGCCCAACGTTGAAAGAGGAAATACGGAACTGCAAGTGTACTCAAGAACATGGACCACCATGTCCACATAGCAACTGGAAGTTTGCCAAAAGCATAAGACATGAGATTGAACTCAAGCACCAGCCTACGGAGAAAAAGCACAGAGAAAGAGCACAGAAGTGAATTTTTAATAGGCATTGACTCATAGAACTCAAAACTTTCAGACCTCAAACTCTCAACCTTAGGAAACACAACACGATATTAATCTGTTATGGTCATGAGGGTAATAGTTGTGCAAGAGGCGAGGTGCTTCTAGGCCTCTGCTTCACAATATATCCCAACAGTAAATCTAAAAGTCCCTAAGATAATAATCTTTGACCATAAGATACCCAAGATAACCTAAAATAAATAAACTTTAAACTTCACAGTGATTAGATTCTAACATCAATTTTAAGCTCTAAGATATTCTAAAGTTAATACATAAAGTATTCAGGGACGCCTGGGTGGCTCGGGGCGTGATCCCAGAGTCCCAGGATCGAGTCCCACATCCAGCTCTCTGCATGGAGCCTGCTTCTCCCTCTGTCTGTCTCTGCCTCTCTCTCTGTCTCTCATGAATACACAAAATCTTAAAAAAAAAAAATACAGGGCAGCCCGGGTGGCTCAGTCGTTTAGTGCCCACTTTCAGTCCAGGGCCTGATCCTGGAGACCTCGGATTGAGTCCCACATCAGGCTCCTTGCATGGGAGCCTGCCTCTCCCTCTGCCTGTGTCTCTGCCTCTCTCTTTCTGTCTCTCATGAATAAATAAATAAAATCTTTTTTAAAAAAATACATAAAGTATTCAAATATCAATAACTATTATGCCCAAAAGATGATGATTTTTCAAAAGTAAATAGGCATAATTCAAAAATCAATTAATATACTATCATACCATTATCTCAAAATGTAATTTTCTAATAATGCACGTAATTCAATGTATGATTACCACACTGTCTTTTTAAAGTTAAATTTCATTTTTATATTAAAAAGAAAAGTGCCTTTGAGTGGCTCAGTCATCTGGGTGTCTGACGCTTTCGGCTCAGGTCATGACCTTGGGGTCCTGGGATTAGCCCCAAGTCAGACTCCCAAGTCAGTGGGAAATCTGAGATTCTCTCTCTCCCCTGCCCCATCCCTCACTCATGCACACCCAGAGCGCTCTCTCTAAAAAATAAATCTTCTAAAAAAGTTTTTCAAGCATTAAATTCCAATAAATTACTTATTTCTGGTAACAACCTGAAATGCATACCATAGTAGGAAAATTGATAAATCATATATACAAAATTCTTTAGGAAAGTTACCTAGAAACTACTAAAATAGATGATTTTTAAAACAAAAGTAATGAAACTTTAATACTCCTTTTAGTTGTGCTTTTTGGGAGAGAGAGGAATCTCACCCTCCAATCTGCTGCTTTGGGATTTTCTGAATCAAATTTACCCAAATCACCAAAATTAAAATACAGTGAAAACTCCCAACACCATGCATCAACTAGCCAAACATTCTATTTCCCGTCTTACCTTCCTTCATCAATGTAATCTACTACAAGTGTGCTGAGGATAAAGAGAATGAGGAGGGCAATAAACATGTGATATATTGTTCTGATGTGGTCCACCTCAAACAGCTCACTGTAAATGCAGTTCAAACAAATAAAATTAATTATCTATATTTAATTTTAAAACACCATATATAAGACTTCAAGGCAGTTCAGCAGATACTAAATCCACTCTCAAATAGTAATTATAAGTAAACATCTCTAACAGTAATCACAGAATGTTAAACTTCTGAAACCCCTCCCCCCACTCACACAAGCAGGCACATGCTCTCTAAGCTTTGAAAAAAAGTTTTGTAATTCAAGTATACTATAATTTTTTCATAAAGTACAATTCTATCATTAAAATCTTAATTATAATTTTCAAAATATTTTTTTCCCTTTTATATGAAAAGCCTGTGTTTCCCCACAGATACAGATTTTAAAAGTTAAATTTCAGGGTGCCTGAGTGGCTCAGTCTGTTGGGCATCTAGATGTCTTTGGCTCAGGTCATGATCCTGGGGTCCTGGGATGGAGTCCTCCAACAGGCCCCCCGCTCAGTGGAGAGCCTGTTTCCTCCCTCTGCCTGCTGCTCCCCCCACTTGTGTTCTCTGTCACTCTCTCTGACAAATAAATAAAATCTTTTTTTTAATTTAATAAAAGAAAAATAAATAAAAGTTAGATTTCTTCAAACAATAGTGTGGCAAAACACTAAAACTGTATTCTGCATATTGTAACATGTTTAGAAAACTGTGGCCTTCTCATTAAATATAAATCAAGTTGGCTCAGTGAATTTTGATAAATATAAGGTGTATTTTTTTAAAAAGCACATTAAAATATTTGAGATAGTTTTTCACCAGCCCAATTATTTCAGATGACCTATCCTAATGCAGATGAAATTACTGCAGTATTCTAATGAATGACTGAGCAAATAAATAAATGATCTACTCAAAGAACATTACAAAATAAATATTCATTACCTACCCAAAACACACCTTTTTCAGTTCACAAATGAGATCATAATTAATTTACATTGCCTAAGTTTTTTCACAGAATTCATACAATCTAAAATAAGCAAATCTGAGAAAACTATCAAACTTCAAAGCTGGGGAGCCAAAGAAGAGATGAAAAATACATAAAATACCAAGAAGGCAGCAACACCAAAACTCTCGTGAAGGGGTTTACCTAATTAGAAAACTTCTGTTCTAGCTTTTTAGGTAATCAATTCCCTAGTCGCAACTTCCAGGAATTTATCAGAAGGCACATAACCATACTAACCTCTAACTCCTCCTTTGACACCAAAGAACCAGAACATCACAAAGAAGGAGCAAGAAAGAGATGGTGAATGTACATGCATCAAAACTGATGATTTATATGAATTCAGAACAAACTCATTAAACATGCATAGATTAGTATGCCTCATGACTCAGTGACTAAAGTGTCTGCCTTTGGCTCAGGTTGTGATCCCAGGGTCCTGGGACCGAGTCTTGCATCGGGCTTCCCACAGAGAGCCTGTTTCTCCCTTTGCCTATGTCTCTGCCTCTCTCTCTGTGTGTCTCTCATGAATAAATAAATAAAATCATTTAAAAAAAAACCACACAGATTAAGCAGTGATTTTAATAATCAGAACAATTTTTAATTCAAACTTATAATTAATAAAAGCAAACTAAAAATACTCACTCTAACAGAGATTGCCTCACGACAAAAATCTTTCCATGTTCTGGAGGTGCTCTCAAATCTCTGGGAAGAGCAAATAATTAAAAAAAAGATATAAATACTTCAAGTATTTTAAGAAATTTAAACCTATGAGTAAGAGAAAGAATATTAACAACTACAGCATATAACATTAATAAAGCACCTTCTCACTATGACCCAGGTACTATGTGAAGGGTTTTATGTGCATTATCTCATTTACTCCTGAACAATGCTATGGGGTAGACACATGCATATCTGGGTAAGAAGAGATGTCAGGCACGCCTCTCACCAAGCAGCACTCAAAGGCCCAGCTCCTACAGAAATGCATTCCTGGCATCACACACTGACAATCACTCATCCTTCTCCTAAGCATCCCTAAATTCGTAAGTAGTCCTCTAGCCATATTCCAGTTCACATGTTGTTACTGGTCTGTCCTCTAAAACGGCACTAGAATTTATGATAATCTCCTTAATGTTAAAGGACTTCTAACAATCCTCAACAGCCTCCTGATCTTAAAGGTTACCTCCAGTTACTAAAATCTCACATTTTAAACATCTAGCGTTATCATCTTCTTTAGGGTTTTCTGCATGACCACCCACACTTGTCAACTATTAGTGGTCCAAACAGTCTTCCAAAACAGGAATAACTACCAGAGACCATCAGGGCATAAAAGTGAGGAGAGCATAGAATGGCAAATTGGCACACATCAGACTCTGACAGCTTTCCCTCTGTTTTTCTGGATGCCTGACCAATTACAAACATATATGTGCTTTATTACAAGTGTTGTATAGAGTACAATAGAGAGGCACTATAATGATGAGGCAAAGAGCACAGGCTTCAGAGCAAGGCTCTGGATTCTAATACCCACTGTGTAATCTTGGACAGGTAACTGTCCCATGCTTTGGTATCCTAATCTGTCGCAAGCAGACTGTTATCATACCTACGTCACCGGGTCATTGGTTTAAATGTATAGCACTCAGCAAGTGTCAGCTCTTTTATAAGTCAGCACGGTCTTAAATGAGGTACAGGCTTGTTATATAATCTTCATATTAAAATGAAGAAACCCTCCTTTCAAGTGGTGAATCTGCCCAAGGCAACACAGAGCTAATAAAAAGTGGTGCCAGGATGTGAATCCAGGCATTTTTACTGCAGTTCAGATTCTGATCACTGAGCATTATCAGAGTACACGTATGTAGGCACTAAAAGAAACTAATGCAATTCATACTTACTTAGCTCTGTGGTTGTTCTCCCCTTCAAGAACAGAAAAGCTTGTGATAGCACACCCACCATTGTCTAATGATGTTGATTTTTCAATGAGATTGGTCACAAAATCATCAAAGTGACTGCCAACTTCCTTCATAAAAAATGGCTTCAATTCCTAGAATTTTAGAACAAATAAAAAAAATTAGGAACTAATATATGCTTGCAGGTTATTAATATTTCTCCAAAGGATTCTCTTAAACAGAGCTGGATCGAAAGAAATCATGTCATCGGCAAAGAGGGAGAGTTTGACTTCTTCTTTGCCAATTTGAATGCCTTTAATGTCTTTTTGTTGTCTGATTGTTGAGGCTAGGACTTCCAGTACTATGCTGAATAGCAGTGGTGAGAGTGGACATCCCTGTCTTGTTCCTGATCTTAGGGGAAAGGCTCCCAGTGCTTCCCCATTGAGAATATTCGCTGTGGGCTTTTCATAGATGGCTCTTAAGATGTTGAGGAATGTTTCCTCTATCCCTACACTCTGAAGAGTTTTGATGAGGAATGGATGCTGTATTTTGTCAAATGCTTTCTCTTCATCTATTGAGAGGATCATATGGTTCTTGGTTTTTCTCTTGCTGATATGATGAATCACATTGATTGTTTTATGAGTGTTGAACCAGCCTTGTGTCCCGGGAATAAATCCTACTTGGTCATGGTGAATAATTTTCTTAATGTGTTGTTGGATCCTATTGGTTAGTATCTTGTTGAGAATTTTTGCAATGACGTATCAGATAAAGGGCTAGTTTCCAAGATCTATAAAGAACTTATTAAACTCAACACCAAAGAAACAAACAATCCAATCATGAAATGGGCAAAAGACATGAACAGAAATCTCACAGAAGAAGACATAGACATGGCCAACACGCACATGAGAAAATGCTCTGCATCACTTGCCATCAGGGAAATACAAATCAAAACCACAATGAGATACCACCTCACACCAGTGAGAATGGGGAAAATTAACAAGGCAGGAAACCACAAATGTTGGAGAGGATGCAGAGAAAAGGGAACCCTCTTACTTACACTGTTGGTGGGAATGTGAAATGGTGCAGCCACTCTGGAAAACTGTGTGGAGGTTCCTCAAAGAGTTAAAAATAGACCTGCCCTACCACCCAGCAATTGCACTGTTGGGGATTTACCCCAAAGATGCAGATGCAATGAAATGCCGGGACACCTGCACCCCAATGTTGATAGCAGCAATGTCCACAATAGCTAAACTGTGGAAGGAGCCTCGGTGTCCATCAAAAGATGAATGGATAAAGAAGATGTGGTTTATGTATACAATGGAATATTACTCAGCCATTAGAAACGACAAACACCCACCATTTGCTTCAACGTGGATGGAACTGGAGGGTATTAAGCTGAGTGAAATAAGTCAATCGGAGAAGGACAAACATTATATGGTCTCATTCATTTGGGGAATATAAATAATAGTGAAAGGGAATAGAAGGGAAGGGAGAAGAAATGGGTAGGAAATATCAGAAAGGGAGACAGAACATGAAGACTCCTAACTCTGGGAAATGAACTAGGGGTGGTGGAAGGGGAGGAGAGTGGGGGGTTGAGGTGAATGGGTGACGGGCACTGAGGGGGGCACTTGACGGGATGAGCACTGGGGTATTATTCTGTACATTGGCAAATTGAACACCAATAAAAAATAAATATATTATTTAAAAAAAAGACATCCATGTTAATTCAGTAAGTTAAAACAGCAAAATGATTTCTAGAGCTGACCTATGGTTTCAGAAATAGCTATTGAGAAAGCACCATGATTTTTTTTAAAAAAAATTTAGACCCTTTTATGCATAAATCAAAATGTCAAAGAATCCCCTACTAAATGAACTCCTACAAAAGATATATAAAAACAAGATAAAAGAAATGGTGAAAGTGACAGTCTATTTCTCTTCCAATTTTTATCTGGCAAAGAACAAAAAGTAAAACGTCAGCATTCTATCACCATTATATAATTCAAGTCCCTTTTCTTCTCAAGCCAATCCTGCACTCCCAAGTACCCACCATTTATATTTTAGGTCCTGTCATTTCTGAATGATACCAACATTTATACAATAATGTTTATTCTACCTCCACAGCTGTAGAGTTATCTAAATATAACACATATACACTTTCATAACATAGTTATATATTTTGGTCCCAAACTATTTTTAACATCTTAAAACTTATATAGCCACAGTTTCTTTTAAATGTGAAGCAAAACAGTATTTCTTCAGGTCTTAACAGGCCACCTACTATAGGTATTCAAATTGTATATTTGAGTATTTTTAAATTGGTAGGACTTATCTGCATAAAGCAAAACAAAGTCTCATAAACGTTTCAAGAAATAAATGCTTGTTTCTCTGTTTAGACTGAACCTAAAATATCGGAAGTAGCCTTTCACTAGGTTCTGTTATACCAAGAGTTCGACTAAGTTTCCTAAAGTAAAGCCTAAAAATACTAATATATCTAATAAAACTACATGAAGGCTTCTGCAACTGAGACCAGGAAACTAAAGAACCCCATGAAAAACTCCCTTGTTGCTTTCTCCTGCTTCTATTCTTGCTAGGACCTAGCACTTTATACTTTATACATACGCCTTATAAAACAGATAATGTATGTCCTCCTTGTATAGGTCAAGGAGTCAATGTTTTCTTTGGAGTTTTCCAGCGCAATAGATTAACACTTAAGGAGTGACCAGGCAAGGTCATCATGAACCTATCATGAACAGTTTTCCAAGACCCCTGGACTCCAGGGCATAGGTGTTCTAAGTCACCTAAACGTGTGTTCCTGAATGCCTGAGAAGATATGTCACCAGACCACAATCCTCCATAAAAACCCCAGACCCCAATCAAAGACAAGACTCACTCCTCTTTTCTTTCCAAGTCTTCCAGACACTGTCAGTATCTACATCCTCTGTGTTTTCGATAAACTTCGGCTCTCACTTCCTCTTTGGCTGATGTTTGATTTCTATTCTGCACAAAGCCAAGGACCCTCTTGGCTGGTCCTGTGGGACCCCCTCTAGTCCTCAAATCCAGTCAATCTGCATCAAAACTGCTGTTTGCAGTTTGGGTCCTGGGCAGTGAGATTACAATACAATCCTAGCTCTCACAAAAAGGCAGACAGATGGAAAATACAAGATATACACATATAAACAATACACAGTAGACTACCTAAGTGTCACTTGAGCAATATTTAGGAGATCAGCAAACAAAGAAAGCAACTAGGTGATGACTAGAAGTATCTTTTTTGAGCTAGGAGTTGAGTTAAAACCTCAAAAAACACAGAATTAAGATTAAGTGGAAAGCAGTAGAGACAAATATGATGAAAAGCAGTGATGGGAAAGCATTAGCCAAAAAAGGAAATGTGAACAACATAGGTTGGTTTTAAGGACAAAATATAGAGGATCTATGTTCCCTAGAAGAACTAGTTTTTGTAGAATTATTTTTTCTTATTTTTTTAAATTTATTCCTGAGAGACACACACACACAGAGAGAGAGAGGCACAGACACAGGTAGAGGGAGAAAGCAGGCTCCAAGCAGTGAGCCTGACATGGGACTCGATCCCAGGTCTCCAGGATCACATCCTAGGCCAAAGGCGGTGCTAAACCGCTGAGTCACCCAGGTTGCCCTATTTTTTTCAGATTAAGGTTACCTAGCAACACCTTATTTTAGTTCTTTTATCTGTTCATTTCAATTATACGTCTATCCTCACATTTTGACATTTTTGAATAGGATACTTCTCCAGGGACGCCTGGGTGGCTCAATGGTTGAGCGCCTGCCTTTGGCCCAGGGCCTGATCCTGGAGACCTGAGACTGAGTCCCACATCAGGCTCCCTGTATGGAGCCTGCTTCTCCCTCTGCCTGTGTGTCTGCCTCTCTCAATCTGTGTCTTTCATGAATAAATAAAATCTTAAAAAAAAAAAAAAAAAGGATACTTCAACAACGACAAAACCAAAAAAAAAAAAAAAAAAAAAAAAGAGGTGTTTTCTCTAATCTCTAGATTTGGACAGATTTTTTTTTTTTCCCCAGCCTGTTACAAAAATGTTCCCCACAGAAGAGAAGCGCTTTATTCTGGGCACTGTTCTAGGCACTAGAGATATAAACCAAGTCCCAGTCTTCATGAAACTTAAAATTCTAGTGAGGGTAGACAGGACAGATAGAATGCCATCTGATGTTACAGAAAGAAATAGGGCAGAGGTGGAAGGTGTTTTTCACAGAGGTCAAGGAAAGCCTCAAAGATAGCTTGACACTGGAGATTTGAAGAAGGTAAGAGGGCAAGTTAGTGGATGGATATCTGTGGGAAAAGTAGCAGACAGAAAAAAAGCATGAAGTGTAAAAAGCCCTGAGGCAGGAACCCCGGGCAGTTTTGAGAAACAGTAAGGAAGCAGGGAAGTCATAGCTGAAGAGGAGTGGTAAGAGCTGTCAGAAAAGGAGGAGGGAGTACCTGGCTGGCTCAGTTGGCAGAACAAGTGACTTTTGATCTCAAGGTCGTGTTCAAGCCCCACACTGGACCTAGCGCCTGCTTTATAAAAATTTAAAAGTAATAAAAAGTAAAGAAGGAAAGGGTGGTGGGGGAGGGCGCAACACCATGTAAGGTCTTAACACTTTGCTCCCTACTCCTATCAGTCCACTGAAATTTTACTCAGCATTATAAAAGAGGCCTGGAGTCTTAAGATGTGGCAAAGAAGTCAAACCTCTTTATTTTAGCTAGGATTCCTCATACTCTGCAATCAGTCTCCTTCCCAATTAACTATTGACTTAAGTAGAACAGAAGCATGAAGAAAAAATCATAATAAATGTTACACAAGTGTCAGTAAAAGCTGTTTAAATCAGGTCCTAATCCACTCAAGGTAGAGAGAACACAGTCAGTATCCTCTGGCACAAGCTCTTGGCCTTACACACAACTCACCTGCATACAAGCCTTTGCCTTACACTCCAGAGCTTGCAGCTTCCAGTCCTATAGTGAGAAAACCTACAACAACCTCCCCACCCCCATCCTCCTTATCAACCATATCCTTTTCTTTTCCCCTTCCCTCTATTTCCCTCTATTCTTCTTCTATCCCTTCCTTCTTCTCCATACTCCAAAACTCCTACCTTTTCTTCTCTTCCAGTCACTCCAGAAATAAAGAGT